GAGCGGCCTCACCCCTCCCCCCACCCCCGCCCCCATTTATTTTGTTCAGTTTCTGGCCCAATTACATCACTATTTCCCCAAGGAAAGCGAAACGAGGGCTGGAATCTGTTACAGTCAGCCTGAACTTCCAAACAAACCCATTTCAGACAGCATTTTCTCTGCCTCATATGTAGGAGGAAATAACGTATTTCTTAGTCTCTAAAAAGTAAGGCAGTTTCACAGGAGGTAATGCAGCTTAATAACTGCTTTATTAAAGAAGCTATTAATGACTATACAGGGGAGAAAGGCCCTGGGCCGTGGACAGGAGACAGTTCGTGCAGCGTGCTCCGGGGAGGGAACTGGCTACGGGCTCACTAAGGAGACGGTGAGGCGGCCACCTGACACTTAAGGGCTGATGCAACAGATGAGTGATACTCGCGTAGGTAGTCAACGGGCGCTGAGTTTGGCTGTTTACACTGATCAATGACTATGGCACTTCTAGTGAGTTTTTGGCAGGTCTTACGAGGGCACTGAAGACAGACGTTTGGGATGAATAGCTTTCCCCCAAGCTGGCTCGATATTTAACTCACTTTAGAAACACAACAGACATGGGTGTGGCCTCAGAGCGTCTGTAAATTGCGCATAGCACAAATAGTGCTAGTCATGCATGCGTGTAGACACTGCGAGTGCTTTAACAGCCACGTGGTTTACAAAAGTGTTCAGTTCTTCCCCAGAACGAGTGGGTGGCTCTGAAAAGAGCCTTTTGGTCTGAGAAGATTTCAGTTTCACTAGGCGCTAGACTACTTCCCCTTGGCCTTGTGGTGGCTCTCGGTCTTCTTGGGCAGCAGCACGGCCTGGATGTTGGGCAGGACGCCGCCCTGCGCGATCGTCACCTTGCCCAGCAGCTTGTTGAGCTCCTCGTCGTTGCGGATGGCCAGCTGCAGGTGGCGCGGGATGATGCGCGTCTTCTTGTTGTCGCGCGCCGCGTTGCCCGCCAGCTCCAGGATCTCGGCCGTCAGGTACTCCAGCACGGCCGCCAGGTAGACCGGCGCGCCGGCCCCGGCCCGCTCGGCGTAGTTGCCCTTTCGCCGC